CCAGCTTCTCCGCCGTCGTCGTTGCACTCTGGTCCGGCACTGCGTAGGCCTCTGGCCACTTTGTGAAGTAGTCCATAGCCACCAACACATACTGGTTCCCTGACTCTGTAACGGGGAAAGGCCCTTGGATGTCCACTCCCACTCACTCCATTGGGGCCCCCACCAGGTACTGCTGAAGGGGGGTAGTGGAGCGTGGAGTTGGGGGTAGTGGAGCGTGGAGTTGGGCCCTTCTGTGCCGTGCAGGTGTCACAGCAGTGCACATGAAGTTCCACATCCCGTCGACAGCCAGGCCAGTAGAACCGTCCTCTGAGACGGCGGAGAGTTTTGGCATTCCCATAGTGGCCAGCCCCCACCGAGCTGTGGACAAACTCGAGCACCTGCGACCGCAGCGACAGATGCACCAACAGCTGCAGGAGATCTCGTACCTGACCGGGGGCCCGCCATATCATGGTACAGGAGGCCGTCGTGGGTCTCCAGGTTGTTGTACTGGGAGTAGTAGGCCTTCACCTCGGGCTCCTGTCCCGACACCCCCGTCCACTCTGGCCGTTGCGCCGCCTCCAGCCAGCCAGGCCCCCACCTGAGCCAACGTCGCGTCGGCCTCCTGCTCCCGCTTCAGCTGCTGCGTTGTCAATGGGAGCCACCCCCCTCCGCCGGCTGTGGCCTGAGCAGTAGCCACCCCAAGCGCCTCCTGGGCCGCTCCTCCTGTCGCAGACAGTAGCGGCACTCGACAGCCATGCAGGGCCGTCTGGCATCAGTGTTGCCATGCTGTCGACCTGCCCGATGCTGGATCTCAAAGTCGTAGCCCTGAAGGACCTCCAACCAGCGGGCCACCTGACCTTCTGGATGTTTGAAGTTCAGGAGCCAAGTCAGAGATGCATAGTCAGTGCGCAGGAGAAACCGGCAGCCGTGCAGGTATGGCCGGAAGTGCCGCACCGCCAGCACTACGGCCAGCAGCTCCCGCTGAGTTACGCAGTAGTTCCTCTCGGCTCGCCCCAGGGCACGGCTGAAGTATGCCACCACCTGTTCTCCGGCCTCGTCCTGCTGGGAAAGGACCGCCCCGACTCCTACATCGCTAGTGTCAGTGTCCACAATGAAAGGTTGCCGGGCGTTGGGGTAGACCAGGAATGGAGCTCTGGTGACGGCCTCCTTCAGCTGCGCAAAAGCTGCAGCGCAGGCATCACCCCAGCCAAACGGCTGGCCCTTGTCAGTCAGGCGGTGGAGGGGGCTGTTTATCGTCGCGAACCCCTTGATGAACCGATGGTAGTACGAGGCTAGGCCCAGGAAGCTCCGCAGTTCTTTGACGTTCGAGGGAGTCGGCCAGTCCCGGACCACAGCCACCTTTGCGGGGTTGGTGGCGATACCTTGAGCGCTGATCACATGGCCCAAGAACGTGGTCTCTCCCGCCAACAGCCGGCATTTCGCAGGGTTGAGCCGCAGCCCAGCTCGTCGGATGGTACTCAAGACCTCACTCAGGTGAGACAGTGCACTGTCGAAGTCGCCATCATGCACCAACTGGTCATCCAGGTACACAATGCAGCGGCTACAAGGGATGTCTACGAGCACCCTCTCCATCAGCCTCTCAAACGTCGCTGGCGCATTGCAAAGCCCAAATGGCATGACCCTGAACTGCCACAGCCCCTGTCCAATGGTGAATGTAGTCTTAGGCCTTGCTTCGGGGGCTAGCTCCACCTGCCAGTAACCGCTGCGTAGGTCGAGGGAGCTGAACCAGCTGGAGCCGGTAACGTAATCTAGGGCTTCGTCGATCAGTGGAAGCGGGTACGAGTCCTTCTTGGTGACTGCATTGAGACGGCAAAAGTCCACGGAGAACCTCGGGCTGCCATCCTTCTTTCCCACCAGAACCACGGGTGCCGTCCATGGGCTGTTGGACGGCTCGATCAGCCATCTCACGGATCTTTTCTTCCGCCACCTGCCGTTTTGAGAGGGGCAGCCGGTTTGGGCGCAGACGGATGGGTTGAGCAGAGCCGGTGTCGATGGTGTGCTGGACCAGCCCCGTCTGCCTGCAGTCTTTGTCACTGGCAGCAAAGATGTCCACATTCTCGTCCAGGAGGCACCTCAACCGCTGGTGCTGGTCAACGTTGAGACCTACGCTGCTATGCTGCCACAGGTCATCAACAGCCTCGATTGTCTCGGTTGAGGGAGATTTGTCGGGCTGAGAGGCTGAGGCTGAGGTGAGTAGAGATGACACAGAGCCACCGGCACCCGAAATCTGCTGAGTGGCAGCTGCCCAACGCCTGTCTCGTCTGGCTCTGGTCCCCTCCACTCCCTGCTTTTGACCACACTGGAGGGCAAGCGTTTCTGTGCCAAGAGTGATAGCCAACTTTGTCGACGCAGGCCCCCCAGCGGGTCAGCAGATCCAGGCCGATGATGCACCGGTTTTGAATGTCAGCAAGCCAGATATCGTGCACCAGCTCCAGATCCTTCACTCGGATCCGCAACAGTTTCTTCCCCCGCATAACAGTTCTCTCCCCCATCACTGTCATCAGCTGGGTGTCTGTGGGCAACCAACCCTTCACCAGTGGCCCGGACGTTCCAGGGAGCACGCCAGGTTGTATTAGGGAAATGGTAGACCCCGTGTCCACCAGGGCCCGGCATGGCTGGTCCTCAACACAGCAGCTCAGGTAGAGCCCACCACCGTGCATCGTCCTTGGAGGGGGGCAGGAAGCTGGAGCGGTGGTCGCCTCGCTACACCGCTCCCACCCCATTTCCCTGAGGCTGCATAGTTCCGGCCTTCGGGGCAGGTGCTGGGCAGTCACGTGCCACGTGGCCAGGCTCATCGCACCGGTAGCAGCGGTTGGTCGGTTGACGGGGACGCCTCCGGGGCACTGAAGACTGCAGCTGGCATATCTCCGCGACCTCCCCGTCGCAGTCTGCGGCTCTGATTTGGGGGTAGTT